AGCAAAGACAGAATTTTAAAATCCATCTAATGTTTAATTGTATCCCAAAGGGGAGCACAGAAAAAAAAATGGAGAAGAGGTAATATTTTAAGAGACAATGGTTGAGCCGGGCACAGTGTGCACACTTGTAATCTGAGCAACTTGGGAGGCTGAGGCAGGAAGATCGTGAGTTCAAAACCAGCCTCAGGGACTTAGTGAGGCCCTGTCTCAAAATAAAACATAAAAAGGGCTGGTGATGTGGCTTAGTGGCTAAGTGTCCCTGGGTTCAATCCCTGGTACAAGGGAGAGAGAGAGAGAGAGAGAGAGAGAGAGAGAGAGAATATCCCAATCATGAACACGTAGATGCAGACAGAATTGATAAAAAGAAATTCACATCTAGCCTCACTGTCAGGACACGGAAACACCAAAGACAAAGAGAAAATCTTAAGGGTAGCCAACCAGAGTGCAGCAGTGAGATGGGCTTCTCTTTAGCAAGAGGAAGACAGGGGACTRTGGAGCAGCGCCGTCCAAGTGCTACAAGACAGTAACTGTCAACGCCAAATGGAGTCCCCAGCAAAACTCTTGAAGAAAAGGACAAAAGAGAGACTGTTTTCAGACAGATGAAACTTGTAAGACCTTAGCAGTTAAGTATTTTTCATCAAAGAAGACTTTTAATAATGATCTTCAGAAATAAGAAAAATGAGTCCAGAAGGAACAGGCAGTTATGATCAGAGAAACTGGTAAACGTGGCTGAATTGTTTTCAGCAACGATTATCATAAAATAATCATGATGACAATATCCAAATGATGGAATTTATTTATTTATTTATTTTTTGAATTTTTTAAAAAAGAACAGAATTAAAATACTGGACACAGTAGCATGTGGGTCAGCAGGAGGATGGGGATCACTCCTTTAAATAATTCTGACAGTTTAGCACAGGGCATTAAGACGATGATCAGCCCTAGGTTTTGGTAAGTTAAACAGGCATAGTAACTTTTAGGGGTGAGCATGAAGGCAGTGGTTCTAGAATTCAAGCTGCCAGTCACCTGGAGGGCTGGTTAGACAGCTGGACGCCCTCCCTCAGCACCCCGCCTTAGAACCTTGGCATGCAGGCCTAGAACGTTCTTCCCTACCAAGTTCCCAAGATCTGTTGCTACTGCTGGTCCAGGGACCACACTTTGAGATCCACTGCACTAAAAGCAGAAATAGTTTAACTCCAACTCAATGGAACAGGGGGAACAGCTAAGACCCATCTTCAGTTCAGGCCAGCCCTGTCCGGGAGACACAGTGGCAGTCACAGGTGTCGTTTTAGATCTTCTGGTAGCCACATTAAAAAAGTAAGAAACAGGTGCAATGAATCTTTTTTTGTTTTTATTGTTCTAMTTAGTTGTACCTGACAGCAGAATGCATGTCCACTCATCGTACACAAATGGAGCGCAACTTTTCAATGCTCTGTCCGTACGTGGTGTAGAGACGCATCATTTGTGCAATCGTACGTGTGCCTAGGGTAATGACGTCCGTCTCATTCCACCATCTTTCCTACCCCACAGCCCCTCCCTGCCACGAATCCCTGCGTTTCACTTCCAACCAATATCTCCCAAAGGCCGTTCCAGTAAGTGATGGATGTAGAAATTATGAATGAGACACTTTATAGTCTTCCCCGCCCCCAGCTGTGTCTTCAAAATCCAGGGTGTATTTGTACTTACACCAGGGCTCTGAGGACACAGCTCTAGCCCATAAGTGACAGTCACTTGCCCAGGATCCTCCAGCTGATCCACAGACCTGARGCCAGCAGGGCCTCTCCTCCCCGGTGCCCACCTCTGAACCTCTGGGCTGGGGCTTTCTGCAGGGGCTTTTGGTTGGGTTTGGTTTTTGCGATAGTCGGGTCGTCATTATTCTAGGTTTTGAGGCCACACCCCTCTGCCACAACCACTCAGCGCTGCCACCACCATGGCATGAAACCTGCCTTAGGCAAAACTCTAAGTACAAACCTTGCAAAGGACTGGATTTAGGCTCGGGGTTGGAGTTTGCAGACCCCTCTCCTGGGCTGGGCGCTGGAGGGGGTGGTGCTGAAGGGCCGTCCTATGGAGAAGGCCAAAAGTGGGGGCTGCAGGAGGTCAGCCCGGCCCCAGCGCTCCTGGCCCTGGACTCCATGAGCAAGGGCCGAGTGAGGCCAGCTTGTTCCTAGGTGGCCGCTGCCCAGGCCAGGCTCCAGCCACCCACCCAGTCGGCACACGGCCCTTATCTGTCACCCCCACCCCTCCTCCCTCACCTCCCTTCACCACTCTCCCCAGCCTGCTTCCCCCTCCCCCTCTCTTTCCCTCCTCATTCCCCCCACAGCCCCGCCCTGGACCCCCTGCACACCACCTGGCCCCGGCTGGAGTGGAGCTGGGCAGAGGAGGACCAGGGTCCCCGCTAGGCACCTGAGCAGAACTTGAGAGGCATTTTATCCCAGAAATGCGTGGGGCCGAGGCCACTGCAGCTGCTGGGTGTGTCCCCAATGTGCCCAAGCCCCAGGGAGGGGCCCCTGGTAACCAGAGCTGCCATCTTGACCTAGGGCTCCTGTGGCCTCATATTCAGAGTTCAAAATATCACTGTCAACCCCGGAGGCAGGTATTGTTATTATACCCATTTTATAGATAAAGAAACTGAGGCTCTGTGAAGTTTGCCCAAAGCTCAGTTCTCTTCAGCCCCAAAGCCTGGTCCAAATGAAAACGACGAAGACCACGTCTTGCCATTCTGAGCGACCAGGTTCAGCCACCCTGCGAGTATCATTTCCCCAGAAGCCTGTGACAGATGTGGAAGGCCCTGCCCGGGTTCCCGAGGTCCAACCCTGTGGAACTTGGAGTCCTGGCCCTACTGGAAGGACTTCCCTGCAAGCCACGCAGCACCAGCAAGAGGGTCCCTGGGCAGCCCGTCAGAGCCCTGGGCCCAGGGGCGGCAGCTGTTGTGGCCACATCACGGGGACACACATACGGCAACAAGACTGCCCAGAGCTCTGTGCCCCTCTGCCATCTCCCAGGCTGGAAAGAGGCCTCCAACCACCCAGGAAGGGAATCCAATCAGGCCGCCGTAGCCTCTCAGCCCCTGTGTGCCCCAGCAGCCCGGGGCGGAGGAGGGAGGCAGAGAGCAGCACTGGGCTGTTCACGGTGGGGAGACTGAGGCACGAGGCCCTGGGATGAAGCAGCCCGGGGAGATGGGCTCCCGGATGCGTGTGAGGTCACCGTGTGGGCACAGTGGCTTTCAGAGTCCCTGGAGGAGTATGAATCAGGGAGGGAAGGTGCTGGGGAAGGGCCGTAAAACCTGGGAGAGACTTCTAGACTGTGGGCTTTTCTGGATTTCAAGTGTAAGACAGCTTGAGCATCCCTAATCCCCAAAGCCAAACTATTCCCAGATCCGACCTGTGTTGAGTGCCCAGGTAATGCCAAGATGGAAAATCCCACCCGGTGAAACTCTGCTCCATGCACAGAGTTACATTGTATGAAATCACCTCAATCCCTGTGTATAGGGTGCACTCGAAATAGGACTGAGGGTCACCTTTAGACCTGTGTCCAGCCCCAGGGTCTCTCATTATGAACGTGCAATATTCCAAAGGCGAAATTCCAAACATGGCTCCCAACGTTTCAGATCAGGGATACTCAGCCCATCCCCGATTGTTGCAAAAAAACTTTTGGAACAGAAAATTAGGCGTGTGCTCACAGACCCTCCCAACACGTGTGTGAACTCACACACGCTCGTACTCGGGCAATTACCCATCCCGCCTCCAGAGACCRACTCCACATCATCCACTGGGAACTAGGGACTCTGTATACATACGGGAGCATAATTATGGTGCCTGCAAGTTTTTCCCTTTTTCACTTGGAAACAGAAGATGGAGCGTTTTCCCACATCAAAAATATCCTTCCATTACGGACTTTCAAATTAACTGCATTGATTGCGTGAATTCCAACACGAATGCGCATCTTTCATTCACACGAGCCTTCATCAATGGCCAGGTCACTGCTTCCTGGCTTTGAATCTTTCCATATTTTTTCATAGTCAGACTATGCACGTTTATGATGGAACTTTGATACTAACAAAGGAATAGCGGGCAGAAGAAAGCCTGTTCTCCCCAGCACTCAGTAGCTCACCCTGAACACGGGTGTGCCTTAGGGACCCACAGTTTCAACTGTGCCCTGTTTGTTCTGATGAATCAGCATTTTGACATCATCATGATGATTTATGACATAGCATGTAGGGCAGGGGTATTTCTAATCAGGGTTGTGTTTTTAATGTTTGTTATTTCTCCAGGTGTCGAATCTGCCCCACCCCTTTTTTAAGCCTATTTTAGAGAGATGTCTTGATGGATTGGGTCCATCCGACCTGCATCTTACGTATTTACTGGGATCGTCCCAGCAGATAGATTGCAGAGTGGGGCTGGGGTGTTGATGGAGGGACTTATTTCTTTTCCTCTCCGTGAGCGCCACTCCAGACACTGGCGTGAGCGTGTTTGGGGTGCAGCCCGGTCACATTTCTTCCCAGAAAGTCAATCACACCCGTTGCCCAAAGATAACGGCCGCCGTGTTGTTTACAATAGAGAAAAATTGGAAACGGCCCCTGTGCCCCTCCGTAGGAGGCAGGTGCAATCAATGACAGGGGAGCCTTCCAGTGAGTCCCCGGCCGTCCCAAGGTGCTGCAGGTGGCTGTTGTGAGTGGCAGCATCAGTGCTGGCATGTGTGTCTGTGTGTGTGTGGGGGGGGGGGGCGTCTGTGTCTCCCAAAGAACGTTGAGCTCAGCGGTCACAGCTGCTGCCTCCGGGTGGCAGGGAGGTCCCCACTCCTTCCTGAAACCAGTTCTTCATTTTTCTCCTTTTCTTTGGAGGGGGCCGAGATGACTTTTGTCATGGGGGAGAGATGGCAGACACAAACCCACCAAAGCCATTTTGATGTTGAAGACCAGAGAGGCGCGGGGAAGAGAGGCCTGCCCAGCCGGTCCCTGMGGCCCTGTCCCCAGCGTGGCCGCGTGTGCTTGTGTGTTGCAGACTCCGACAGCCAGTGCAGCCCCACGCGGCAGAGCCTCAGCCTGTCGGAGGGCGAGGAGCAGGTGGACCGGCTGCAGCAGGTGGAGCTGGTCAGGAGCACGCCCATGTCCCACTGGAAGGCGGGCGCCGTCCAGGCCTGGCTGGAGGTGGTCATGGCCATGCCCATGTACGTCAAGGCCTGCGCGGAGAACGTCAAGAGCGGGAAGGTAGGCGGCTCCGGCCCACGGTGGCCCGGCCCACGCCCTCCCACCAGCTTCCCCTGTGCGGTCAGGAGCAGGGCCCGTCCAGGGGCGGCCACTCAGTGCTGGGACACCGGGGTCCCTGCGAAATCAGTGTCTCCCTTGCAAAACACACACAGTCTTTGGGGACCTCAGCCACTTTACCTTTAAAATGGGGCCAATCTTCCTGGCCTGGTGGGAGGGAGGTGGGACTGGCTGGAGGGAGCCACTCAAGCCCTGTGGTCCTCTCTCATGATGGGCAGCAGCCAGGGAGGCTGCGGGGAGACTTGGGTGTCCCACTGGCAGGGGAGGCCAGCAGGGGGACAAGGGGAGGGCCCTCTCCAACAGACCCCTCCCCGTGGTCCCAACCAGCAGCAAGCAGGGCCGGGGACACCCTGGGCGCCCAGGACAGTCCCTGCTCCCCGCCCTGCCCCTCCCCTGGTGCTCAGTGTCCTCTCCCGGGAGCAGGTGCTGCTGAGCCTGAGTGACGAGGACCTGGAGCTGGGCCTGGGCGTGTGCAGCTCCCTGCACCGGCGCAAGCTCCGCCTGGCCATCGAGGACTACCGCGACGCAGAGGCGGGCAGGAGGTGAGTGGCGCTCGGGGAGGGGCGGCCGTCCACCGGCCTCAGCACACAGCCGCGGGGCATGGGGGCTCCGTGAGCTGCCCCAGGCAGGGTGTCGGGGTGTGACCGAGAGGCCCAGACACACCCCGGTCACTGCACGGAGATGAACATGCAAGGAAGGTGGTGGCCGCTCCCCAAGCGCCCAGGACACCCCACTGCGGGGCAGGGTCCTGGGCACTCTCCGCTTCCCCGAGCAGCGACYGGTCTGCAGAGCGTCTGCCTCCCCTCCTGCCGCTCAGACCTCGGCTCTCACCACTGTGAAGTGAGGACAGCTCCGCTCTCCCGTTCCAGGGCGGGGGACAGCACAGGGAGGTCACCCCCCAGAGGAGGGGGCACCCGGGGGTCTGGCCGCCCCCCCATCAGGTGTCTTCCCCGGAGCCCACCTGCCCTCCCTGCTCACCCGCCCGGCTTCCTGTCCCCTCTCTCCTGAGGGGCCCTTCGCTGACCCCGCAGCACCAGGGAGAAGGGAAGGACCCCCGTGGGTCTCAGCCTGCGGAGGAGGAGGACCAGGCTTYAAATGTGACACTTTCTGTTTTGCATAATTATCTCCTTCACTGGGCCCCATCATTTTTGTGCCGTTAATTCATCAAACCTGGTGGCGTGTGCTGTTGTTTGCAGAAGCAGCTTCATGGGTGAAAGAGAGAGGGGCTGGGGGTGGAGAATCCGGCCGGTCTGCACACAGGAAAACCAGGTCCCGTGTGTCCAGGAGCGGGCTCCTTGGCCTGCGGGATTCTGAGGTGGCGGGCAATGCCGAGACCGGGTCAGAATCTAGGGCGGCCACTCTCAGCAAGCATCCAGAAGGCGCTGGGTCTTGTCAGCAGGCAGGAGCTGGTGGCCCGTCCTACAGGCCAGGGCTGGGGCTGAGGCAAGGGGGCGGGGTGATCCRTAGGACCAGGGGTGCCCCCACGGGGTTCCCCTCCTGAGCTCCCGAGGGTCCCAGGCCCTCCTCGCTCACCACCCGCCTCCCGCCGCCCCCTCACCCCACAGAGTCCGTCAATGTGGCCTGTGTCCACTGACCAAGCAGGGTGGCCTGCTTCAGCCCTGGAACACGGCCGCCTTAGCTGGAGCTGGGTCTCCAGTGGCCGGTGTGGGACAGCAGAGCCCCACAGTTCTGGCTCTGCTGGGGCCTGTGCCTGGTGACCGACGAGGTGGCCTCACACACCAGGACCAGGAGACAGACAGGCAGAGGAGGGCGGGCGAGGGAGAGAGCAACTGCTCACCTGGGCCTCACATGACCCTGACCATCTCCCAAAGGCCCGGCCTCCAAATCCCAGCACACTAAGGTCACGGAGGACCAACATCTGTCATCCATGAGTCCCAACAGTCCTGAGCTGAGGATGTCCAGGAGCCCACAGTCTGACGTGAACCAGAGCAGAGCAGACTGGCCCCGGGTCCGCCAGCCGCAGCACAGGGCACCCGGGCCTCCCTGAGACAGACCTTACTGTGGTTTCCCGTCCCCGGGGAAGTCGAGCCTGTCCCGAACTGGCCTTGTGACCTCACCTCCTCTGGGACTCAGGTTCCCCACCTGTAAAAGGAAATGGGTGAATTAGACAGTGGTTTTTAGACCTTTGAGGATCTCGGCCCCTTGGAGAATCTATTAAGAGCCCTCGGGCCTTCCCCAGAGGAAACATAGGCGACACGAACTTTGCATTCCCAGAAACCTCTTTCTGCCCACAGAACTTTTAGGAGCTCGAGGATTAGAACCCCAAATAAGGTCACCTCTGAGAACATTTCCACCTGGGACTTCCTGTGTGACTATGGGCATGATATTACCCTCTCTGGGCCCAGTTTCCCAAAATAGTGACAACGAACCCCATCGGCCCCTTACCAATCCATCACCTGAAACTCTGTGAATGCGGTTCTGTTTACCCATCAGACATCAGACGGACGTTCATACCCCACTGTGAAGACGGAAACAGCCCTGCATTTTTTGCGTTGAGTGAGGACCCAGACTGTGTCCCTCCTGTGCCTGTCCCTCCTGTGCCTTGGGTTCCAGGGTCTAATCCGGCCCTGGCTCAGGGAGGAGGTGGTGACAAATTCTGTAAAGTGTCAGAATCACTTTCTGAGCCTTGCCGTTTGGTTGACTTGGGCTCTTACAATAGCTCCTCCCAGCAGCTGGGAGGTGTCACCCGCTGAGGCCCCGTGGGGACAACTTTAATGAAAAGAGGACCCTCTGCAGGGCAGGGGCACATTAGCTGTCAGCGTGGGGGTGGACGTGGCTGAGGATGAATGGGCCTCTCTGGAGCAGGTTGGGAGAGGCCCCTCCCCGCCCGCCCCCCCCCCCCCCCGTGGCTGAGGATGAATGGGCCTCTCTGGAGCAGGTTGGGAGAGGCCCCTCCCCGCCCGCCCCCCCAGCCCCCGCCATCGAGCAGCTGGGCAAACCCTTGCTTCAGGGGGGAGAGGAGGCCGCTCGGTTTCCAYGGGGGACAGCCTGGCCCCACGGCATCCAGTTTAGAGCCACGAAGCCTGGCCCAGGAAGGCCCCTCTGTGAGAGCCAGGCTGGCCCYGGAGCGGGGAGGGTCTGCCCGGCCTCCTCTTCCCACTGGAGCCCACACCCCACGCCCAGCCCTGCCCCGTGACRCTGTGGGCTGCCACCAACACCGGCCGGCGGGAAGCCCAAGTTAGGCGGGACTCGGCTGGGTCCTGCCCTGCAGGAGCTGACGGCCTCGGGGGGGGCAGTGGACTGGGCCAGCAGAGGGCAGGCGGGTGGCTGGGAACTTGGGTGGGGCGTGGTGGGGCGCGGGGAGGCCTCACCCAGCCATGAGTCCCRGGGGCCAGCGGAGTCGGCAGGAGTCCCCCAAGAGGGCAGGGGTGACACAGGTCCAGAGGAGCCCAGGAGCCCTGGGAGGCCAGGGGCCTCAGGGAGGTAGAGGGAGGCGGCCTGCCTGAGTGGCCCCGCTCCAGGCTCACGGCTCTGCAGAGACTCAGCCCTTGGCGTGGCTTGTCCCTGGGGGCGGGCAGCAGGGAAAGCTGGTGGCCAGACCCATGATGCGTGACAAGTGCCCTGGACGGCAGTAGAAACAGGACAGCAGGATTGGGGGTGACTTCAGACAGTGAGCGGGGGACAGAGCCCACCTCGCAGGGCTGGAAGGAGCGGGCTGGGAGGTCGGCAAGTGCCGTGTGGGCAGCACCCGGAGGCCACTCAGAGGACCCTGGTTGTGCTGCCACGAGGACAGCCACCCCGGGGTTAGGCCCGGAGCCACACGTCCAGTCGATGCTGTCACGGGGCCAGCTGTGGCCACAGGGACGGGGACAAGCAGGGGTGAGGCTGCRGCAGGGGCCCACAGCAGAGGCGCTGCCGTCCCGAGGCTGGGAAAGCAGGGAGGGGACCATGACCGCGGACCCGGGAAACCAGCAGGAAGTCGGGGGTGGGGGTCAGGCAGGTGAGGAGGGGCTGCTGGCCTGGGGCTCACCTGTGTGGTGCCTGTGACTGGGACAGGAGCCCGTGGATGCCATCAGAGCCCTGGGGACAGCGTCACCCGGAGAGGAGAGCACCCAGGAGACGTGCCCCAGGTCCTGGCGGGAAGAAGGCAGGACAGTGAGGGGCCACCAGCCGCTGGCAGGCAGCCCGACTGGCTTCCTGGGCAGGGCACTGTGTAAGCCCACCACCACTTTCCCTGGCACTCGGCCTCCCTCCTGTCCCCTGGGCTCCCTGGCTCCTGCCTGGCAGCTCCTGGTCCTTTCTGGGTCCCTGCAGGTGGGACCCGCAGACCTCATTCCTTCTGCGAGGCTGCCACCATGTGGCGGGCAGAGGGATGACAGCCARGAGCGCCCCACGGCCGACCAGCCCGAGACCCACTGGAAGCGTTGGTTGTGGACCTACTGTGTGTGGCCCTGAGGTTTATTCTGTGGGGGACACGGAGAAGCCTGACCTATGGCAGAGAGGTGGCAGGAGAGAGGGGGTTCTTGAATAAGAAAAACGCACAGCACCTCTGTGTGGCTCTGGGGAGAAGGAAGGACGGTGCCACCTTCTCACACCAGAGCCGCCCAGGACCAGGACCTGTGTGGCRCACCGGGAGGGGACACTCCGTGAGGGCCACCTCAGGGCTTTTCATAGTCTCCAAACAGGAGAACAGACAGAGTGTCATCAAGGGGCCGGGCAGAGGGGACGTGCCTCKGGTGGGTCACACGAGGCTCTGGGGTCTCGGGGCCCCGCAGAGTCCCCRAGAAGCAAAAGTGGCCCAGGCGTGGGGGCTCCTGGTGGCACTGCTTCCTGCTGCGTCCTTCTGCCCGCTGTCAGGGTCCCTGTCACTCATGGTACATAGGACGGGTCCCCTCCATCCCTAGTCCTCGGGCCTCCACTGGCCCCTGTCCTGGTCCTTAACCCTTGACCCCKCCCCTTCCCTCCTCCTCTCTCACTCCGTCCCTGTCCCTGGCTGACTCGGTGGCCTTYTGGGTCCCGCTGCCCTGTTGCTGTCCTCCCTGCCCACTGCCGCTCTTCCTCCCGCTGGACCTCGGGTCCTGACGCCTGCCCCCCGCCCTCTCTCTGGCTGTCCCCTCACAGCCTGTCGAAAGCCGCCGACCTGGACCATCACTGGGTGGCCAAGGCCTGGCTGAAGGACATCGGCCTGTCCCAGTACTCCCAGGCCTTCCAAAACCACCTGGTGGACGGGCGGATGCTCCWCTCCCTCGTGAAGCGGGACCTGGAGAAGCACCTGAGCGTGTCCAAGAAGTTCCACCAGGTCAGCATCCTGCTGGGCATCGAGCTGCTGTACCAAGTGAACTTCAGCAGGGAGGTGAGACCCTCCCCCGCAGCCCCGTCTTCTCCTGCGTGTCCACTGACTGGCCACCCGCCTGGCGCCTGTGCCTCGCTCCCTCCACCCATCCTCCCGTCCATTCTCCCACCCATCCTCCCATCCAACCTCCCATCCAACCTCCCACCCATCCTCCCATCCATCCTCCCATCCA